GTGTGTGTGTGTGTTTTTTTTTTGGGGGGGGGAATCCTTTTTACGGATTCTAGGCATAGTTGTTGGCCTGGATATGTGGCGACTCGACGCAGCGTCATACTAAAACTCGACACTAACGCTCCTACCCACTAAACCCTAAACCCCTTTCCTCTTTCCTCTAATCCCTCATGGAAACCGCCGTCAGGCATTACTTCGTGAGGGGAGGATCTAGCTACTGCTCTTCCTTCTGGTGGCTAAGGTGTTAACTACCTTCCTATATGTATGAGTCCATATATGATCAGATCTGATCATATATGGACTCATATATGATTATATATGGGGTTATAACAACCAGGTATGATCAGATCTAATTATATATAGACATATATAATCAGATCTGATCATATATAGACTTATACATGATTATATATGGAGTTATAACAGCCAGGTATGATCATATCTAATTATATATAGACTTATAAATGGTTATATATGGGGTTATCACAGTTAGGTATGATCAGATCTAATTATATATAGACATATATAATCAGATCTGATCATATATAGACACATATGATTATATATGGGGTTATAACAACCAGGTATGATCAGATCTAATTATATATAGACATATATAATCAGATCTGATCATATATAGACTCACATATGATTATATATGGGGTTATAACAACCAGGTATGATCAGATCTAATTATATATATAGACTTATATATGATCAGATCTGATCATATATGGACTCATACATATAGGAAGGTAGTTAACACCTTAGCCACCAGAAGGAAGAGCAGTAGCTAGATCCTCCCTTCACGAAGTAATGCCTGACGGCGGTTTCCATGAGGGATTAGAGGAAAGAAGGAAAAGGGGTTTAGGGTTTAGTGGGTAGGGGCGTTAGCGTCGAGTATTAGTATGACGCTGCGTCGAGTCGCCACATATCCAGGCCAACAACTATGCCTAGAATCCGTAAAAAGGATTCCCCCCCCCAAAAAAAAAACACACACACACACACAAACACACACACCATCGCGGGAATAGTCAGGGAAGCTTTTTAGGACCTCAATACGTCAAGATCTGATGAAAACTCGTGTTATGTAAAACATATTAATTTAGGGTAATTAATTAATTTTACACTTAAAATATTTAATGTGTTTAAGTATTTGGTCCTATTGTGTTAGGCTAATAGACTGAGAACTTCCGAGTTTTATCTTATTGAGAATGATAGGTTTGTTTGAATAAATTGATGTAGTTGATTAATTTTAATACATATATTGTTTAAATCCAAAATTAATATCATTAGTTAATTTACAATAGTTACAATTATTACACAGTGATTGAAGTTAACTTTTCTTTCATATAACGACTTTACAATATTACCAAATTCACAAATATTAATAATTCACAAATATTAATATTTTAAAATATACCTGATAAAAAATTGATGAACCTTGTTGATTTAATTTATTTTAGTTGGTTTCACTTTACGATTTTACTTTACCTTTACAAATGTTTTACTTTTTATACAATAGATTTACACAAACTAATGTTAATTCCACATTCTAGTGTGTTAAATCAACACATGAGAATGTAAAATTCTACACACTAGAGTGTAATTTTCTACATAAAAATTTTTAAGCTTTATACATTGACGGAAAATTTTTTTACTGTGCAATATATTATTATTATTCGTCTATTCATCGTCTCAATAATATTAATCCGGACCTTAATCCTTAACTAATTATTCTGAAAGGAATTTGTTTCGTTAAATTTCGTATGATCTAAAAGGTGTTGACATAAATTTGTGCCTTTCTATGGTTTCATATATTTTTCGATGAGAGTAAATTTTTTGTGTCAAGTTTTTGGAGCAATTTTGAATAGTTTGTTGATTCTCTAAATTTAATCCGTCACATTTGTCTATTAAATTATTTTCAATTGATCCTAGCATATTACGGTTATTTTTTTTAATTTATTTAAAAAGTACCTGACCAAACAATCATTAAGCCAAAGTTTTCTTATTCATAATCCGTAAATCTCGGCAGTCACATAGTGACTGTAGGGTGCTAGTAGTAATAATTATAACGATCATGGTAAAAACGATAACAATCAACATAGTTATAATCATAATGATCGTAATAAATCACAATAATCCACACAATAATATTAAACATATTAATAATGTCAATAATTAACACAGTAATTTGGATCATTGTAATGACACTAAACATAGTAATACTCAAATAGTAATAATTAATTTCGCTGTGATAAAGGAAATCGTCATACATGGTCGTGGTAACGGTGGCTCGCGATCATTACTCATTCGTTCCATCGGTGAGTGTCACATAGCTGGTTCTCGCTGCTTGCGATGCCCATTCACCGCTCGGCCACAAGTACCTTCTTCACAATTATCAATTAAATTTTTTGACCGAATGTATATATACAATTAAAGTTGTTACGCCTAGCGGTTAAGTGACTAGTAAATCTAATTCAAGCCAACGGATGTACATTTCATCTTCCCTATTAGGCGAGAGACATTCTCTCTTTACATAAATTCGATGGAGATCCATCGAACCTGCATACTAGTGAAGCTGAAAGCTTGTGGTATTTGTTCGAGTTATAAAGATGTTCCTTGAATGAAAGAAATTTGTAACGGTTTTATTTACTGTTCATTTGGCCCCTTTAATTAAATTAATTTAAATTAATAAACTAAACAAAATGACTCTAAAATACTAAATAAAGGGCGCCACCAGGATTTTTAATCACGGTTCCTGGAACCGGAACCAGAGCTGAGAGCTTATCGACAGGGAGAGAGAGTGGAGGAAGGTGAACTGAAATAAATAAATTTTCATTTAACAAAGGATCCAAAATTTATTTAATAACAAAATTATTTAACAAGGTGTACACACTCACACTCACACTATAATCACTTAAAATTACAGCCTAACTGTCGGCTGACCAGAACCAAGATTCTTATAACTAACAACACTACAGCCTAACTGTCGGCTGATCAGAACCAAAAATCACCTTGCACAGAGACTGTCGTATGCGAAGGATCCCTATTAACACCCCCCACGATTTACCTTTTAACTAATTAGCCAACGAAACACCCCGCACAGAGACTGTCGTATACGAGGGAACGTTGTCACCACACTCACACACACATAACCCATGCGTCTTCACACACACACTGATTTTACTTTATTTTATTTGTTCAGAATTATCAAAGTTATAAAAAAAATTTACTTTCAAAAATTATTACATTAACTCTTACTTAATAATTTCAGTCATTAGCTAGCAACTTAATTAAAAACAATTTCTCGCGATTGATAATTTATTTCTCAAAATTCTAACTAAAACCGACGCCTAAATTCATTTCAAATTAACCAAGAGTTTAATTAAGACGCAACAATTTATTCCAACTTAACTCGTAATTTATTTTATTAATTATAAAATATTCTTATAATGATAATAATAATTTATTCAAGTGATTTTTTAAGTTATAACTTTGATACACTTTTGGATTCCATTGTGACTAGAAATTAAAACAAATACAAATAGGTACATATTAATTAAGCAATTAAGATTTAGAATCTATGAAAATGAAAATAAGCATAAGTAGGAGAACTAAGTAAAAGAAAGAAAAAACATTAAAAATAAAAACAAAAAGTATAATGCCACAAAAAAGGAAATAAAGATTTTTGTAGGTTGAGTAAATATTATTTAGATGTTATCTCCAGCAGACAGATATAGTTGGACTCATACATCTTGGTTAATCAGCTTTACAGAGTCTCTCAGAAAATGATGCAGAGACTTTAGATTCGTTGGGGATTGGTGGTCCAGAATAAGAGCTAGGTTCATTCTTGGGCCTAGTTCCTCAGCAAGTTGTAGGTGTGATAGGCGAGGGATATAAAAAAAGGGGCAGTCAAGTAAGAAGTGTTTGACTGTTTCAGCTTCGTTATTATGGCAATAGCGGCATGTTTGTTTAGGCTGTAGTTTAATTACTGATTTATCAACTGAGATGTTGCAGGTGAAGAGGTTGGCTAGTCTTAGTTGAATCATTGGCACAATTAGGCGCTGCGAGCAAAATTGAAGGTAACTTGGCAAACCATCAGATGGGTTCCTGTATAGGATGATTTGGCATGCCGAGGAGTGAGTGTACCTCTCCAGGTCCAAGTTGCGCAGAAACTCCTGGTATTTGTTGATGATTTTTTCTTTGTTGAGCTTCCAATGATTCAAGGACAGGGTGTCGAGGATGTTTACTTCGTCTATGGTTTGCAGGATTTTTTTTAGGTGATGGATCCAGTTAGGTTTGTCGGGGCCAACTTTGCTGAGGGCAATAAGTCGTATAAAACAGATTTTAGGTAGACTGTCTTGGTTCATGTCGAGTATTTTGATGACCCAGCTAAAGGCGGCTTTGAAGATTTCCAGGGAGATATGAGATAAATTAAGTTCTAGGCGTAGTACATAATTCGGAGTACAGGCTGGGATATTCAGCAGGTGCTTATAGAAGTATAGATGAGCTATCTCGAGCTTTTCCATGTAGCAAGAGTTCAGGCCCTATATATGTGCGAAATATAGGAGCATCGCGCGAGCAATACTATTATACGTCTTAGCTTTGCTTTGCCAGGAGTTTGCTCTAAGACGAGACAGAATAGAAATGACCGTTCCTGAAGCTTGTTTGCCTTTTCTGATAGCCGACGTAATGGGAGACCCGCCGTGAGCTGAGATATTGAAAGGTACTCCTAAGTAAGTGTAAGGTTTGACAATTTCAAGGCTGGAGCCTTTATATATGAAGTCTTTGTCACCTTTCTTGACTCTACCTGATGATCTGCATGGCATTACCTTAGTCTTTTCGGTGTTCACGGTTAGGTCATTTAGAGTACAGTAATCCTCTAATATCTTTAGTTTAGCTCTGAGACTAACTGCTGAGCGAGATAGGAGTACAATATCGTCGGCGTATAACAGCATTAAGATGTCAAGTGCCAAACTCAGCAATTTCGGCATAAGCTCCAAATTTATCAGACTTTTGATAAACTTCTATAAAAAATCCTCGCTACAAGTTAGAGTAAATGGTCAAACAACAGAGCCGATTCCGATTACCATCGGGGTACTTCAAGGTGAAATTTTAAGCCCTCTGCTATTCAATCTATATTTATCTGACATTATCCAATTCTTTGCTCAGCGTGGGATGGAAGGACTAAGTCTGAAATATTCTTATAAAAATTTCTTCAATTAATTTTAACTAACTAAAAATTCCCGGATTTAATATCCACGTTTGTTAAATTAAATTCTAAAGAATTTTTATAAGATGATGAAAATTGAAATTATTAAAATTATATTCCAAAACGTAAGTTCAATATATAAAAATAACCGCGTGGAATTTTCCGATTAAATAAATAATTAATAAATAATTTATCTCAGTATAAAATAAATTAACGAAAAATTATCCACGGGTAAATTAGTCTCAATTGCGCCGAAATCTCAATAATTAATTCTCAATAAATAATATAATGTAAAATAAATATTTTCTGGTAATAAATAATATTACTTAATAATTCAATAGTTCTTAACAAATTGTCGTGTAAAATAATTGCCAGGAATTTGTGCGCTCAAAATGGACACCGGCATTCGTAAGTGCGTAGTAAAGCTTTGACCTTGGGTATACGACCGACGCTTGCCCGATCCGTGAGCAGACAATTGGAATTTTCTCGATGTTCGATAATTCGGTTTTATTTTATCAATTAAAATAATTATAACTAAACCGATTTTTTAGATGTTAACAATTGTTAATCGAGCAAATAAATAAATAAATTCTCACGACTGTTAAGACCGCAAGGTCTTGAACATTCCTCGGGTATAAACCCCCAAGAGGGACGCTCAACACAACTAACGAATGTTAAACACTGAATTTTAACGAATTGTTGAATTACTAGCAATTAATAATTTAATAATTGAAATATTCCGAATTAATAAATGATGAATAATTAGCCAGAGGAGAAGTAAACCTGGTATAAACCCCGAGGTCCATTCCTAGCCCACAGAGTAATTATTGATACCTTGATGAATTAACGACGATCTACCTCGCTACTTGAGGTCGAAGTCCTAGATGTTGTTGGCTTCCGTCGATTGGTAACTACTCCGGGGATCCGTTCTTCTTGATTTGTGGCACACTGTCTGGCGGTTATACTACTTCTCCTCATTACAACGCATGGCTCTCCTATATAATAGCCCCCAAAATACTCCCTCCTACTCTCTCTATTGGCCAATTAAAGTACAATTAATGTACAATTATAGTTTTTACGCCTAGCGGTCAAGTGACTAGTAAATCTAATTCAAGCCAATGGATGGACATTCCATCTTCCCTATTGGTCGAGAGACATTCTCTATTTACATAAGTTCGATGGGGATCCATCGAACTTGAATACTAGTGAAGCTGAAAGCTTGTGGTATTTGTTCGAGTTATAAAGATGTTCCTTGAATGAAAGAAATAAAAGAAACTAAATGAGAGCAAAGACAAACCTTGAAAAAATATATAGGGTTGGTTACCAAGTCAGGGATCGAACCTAGATCTCCCTACACTACATTACCATTGTAGTGCGTAGTTTGGGTGGGGAAAAAATGAAGGGAAAAGTAAGTAAGTATCGAGAGTATAAGGACAGACTGAGAAGGATGATAGTGAAGAGCCCGGTAGCTTAACGGGTAAAGCTCCTGACATGTTATCAGAGAGATCCAGGTTCGATTCCTGGCTTGGTAACCGACCCCATATGTTTTTTCAAGGTTTGTCTTTGCTCTCATTTAGTTTCTTTTATTTCTTTCATTCAAGGAATATCTTTATAACTCGAATAGATACCTCAAGCTTTCAGCTTCACTAGTATTCAAGTTTGATAGATCTCCATCGATCCCATAATAAAATTGAAATGAAATGTATGTGAAACTAATCTATTCGTGATGTGATTGGTCGAATATATCATATGCATGAAAATATATGCAAACTCCACAGTCAAGGCGCGCGTTTGCGTGCGCAAATTTGAATTCTAGTTCAAATATAAAATTGAGATGAAATGTATGTGGCATCAAACTATTCGTAACGTGATTCGTTGAATATATCATAAGCATGAAAATATAGACAAATGCTATACTCAGGCGCACGCTTGCGCCCGCAAAATGCAATCCTAGTCTTATGTAAAAAGAGAATGTCTCTCGACCAATAAGGAAGATGGAATGTCCATCCGTTGGCTTGAATTAGATTTACTAGTCACTTGACCGCTCGGCGTAAAAACTTTTTCACAATATTAAAGCCAAATGATGCTTATATTCTACAATTTGTATCATATTTTTGTTACAGATACTGCAGAAAATGCCGAAACGATGACAGTTAAAATTTTGGTGCTGAGTTTTTCTACTACCTGGATCATGCGATAAATATATTTTTGCTGAAAAGTTTATTGTTTATTGGCTTCATAGGGTAATTGAATTGATAAAATCTGAATAACGGAGATTGTCATCATAAAAATCGATAATATTTCAGGAAGTCTATAATCCAATATCGAAAAATAAAGTCTAAAAATAAAATTATTAGAAAAAAAAATGATAATATTGACAATATAGCTCAGAAAAATTGAAAAATAAATAATCGGGAATTGTCACTAAGTGCGCCATAGTTGTCGCTTTTTATGTAATATATATATATATATATATATATATATATAGGATTATATTTGTTATATTTTATATATATATAAATATATATATATATTTATATATAATAACGCAAGTTTAAGTCCAACAAAGTATTTTTTTCTCAACCAGATGTATTTTGACCTATTGTAGCATTGATTCCGAAATATATTTCATTTGAAAACTAAATGATACATACTGTAAATATGAAAATTATTCTGCTTAATAAGATACAAATCATTAATAAAATAAACGCTGAAACTGTGTCATCATCATCATTTCATAATTCTCAACTGTATTTATAAACAGAAGCTATAGTTGTACATAAAAGTGTACTATTTAAGATATTTGGAATTATTTTCTTATTATTCGTGGAATATATTTAAATTTCAGAAAAAAATTTCTGCTATATGATTGCACATTTTTCAAATATGTTAACACATGCCACTCAGTCATTAAAATTTGCATGTCCATTAAAAAAGTTATTTATTTCATTTTTCACCTCTTAGATTAAGTTAAAATTACACATACTTGACAAAATTATTTATACAAAAAGAGATAAAAATATCAATAAAAAACATTACTTTTAAGTTATCAATTATTTTCACAACCGTGAGTTAATGCACAATTAAAGTTTTTACACTCCATCGGTTAAGTGAAGACTAGGATGGCGTGTCCATCCATTGGCTTGAATTAGATTTACTAGTCTTCACTTGACCAATGGGGTGTAAAAACTTTAGTTGTATTACTTTTAAGGTTAACATCCTCGTGGCAAAACTCTTGTAATAAATACTACGTCAAAAAATAATACTTTAATAAGACTAGACTGATCCATTATATGTGTGTAATTTTTTTTTAATTTGTCATTACTTAAAAAACAACGTAATTTAATTAACATTTAACAGGACCACTAATTTTTAATAACAAAGCACATGTGAGTCAACGTGATTAGCAACTCACAGACTATAGGTACACACAATATCGCATGTCAATACGACACTAAGTCTACTTTATCAACACAGCTAAGTTACCCATTGATTTAATTCAAATATTAAAAAAATTTTTTTTTAAATGAAACCGAAATGAACTAAATTATCACGAATCAGAATAAATAGATAGTCTGGGAAATTATTCTTGTGTTGTGTACACTAACAATCTCTGAGAGTAGTAGGTTGAAATTTTTTAACCAACAAAATTATTCCAGTGACTTTTTGAGAATATTGATTAAGTCACTATAAATTGAGCTAAGACCTTGAGTATCAGTTCTGAAATTTACACAGTTCAGGGCTTTAATGAAGATCATCTCGCTAAGATTCATCTTTATAAAATTCTTTTCTGTGTCCATGATTTCCGCGTTGCCAAATTGGAAAAGATTACCATCTTCTGAAAAATGATGTTCCGCCAAAGCTGTTTTACTGCTCATGATAATTTTTTCAGGTTTACAATCCAAACGGTGTTGCTTTAATCTTGATTTTAATTTTTGTTTGGTTTGCCCAACGTACCATTTTCCACACGTACATGGTATTCTATATATACCAAACACGATTTGTCATCCTCCTTAATTTGTCCTTCACCTCGGAGTATAAATTTTTAACTTTAAATAGGTTGTAAAATACCAGTTTACAATTTGTGTGTCTAAATAACGATCCTGTTCTCAGTGAAAGACCTATTATGTAAGGAAATCTGCTACATGTCCAAATGTTATTACCAGCTGTAGTTCTTATATTACTCAAATCCTGCTGGTGACAATAGTTTTACATTTTTGGATTACACTTCTTGGGTAATTATTGGCTTGTAATAATTTCTCAACCATCTGGACACTATCATTAATCTTGCTTTAATGACTAACCCGCATTGCACGGTTTAGGAATCCCTGTACCACGCTAAGCTTCTGACTCAGCGGATGATTTGAAAATTGTAGTTTAAAATTCTTCCTGAACTGTACGGCTTTTTATACCACGATGTTATCAGTTCGTTGTACAGTACGTTGAAATCAAGACGTGACAGCGCTTCATAAATCTCGTAATCCAGTGTGATGATCGCTTAAGACGAACTCGCTGGACTTCCCAAAGCGCATCCTTCTTTTTGAAGACAGAAATTCCCATCGAAGGCAAAGTGACCTGACTTAAAGAAAAAATTAATCATTTCGAAAACGGAAACCTGGTCCACTTTTACCTTCTCATAAAATTCTTCCCACCTATCAGCTATAATTTTCTTAATCAGACTCTTACGCACGTTGGTGAATAGTGATACAACATCAAGTGAGATTAGGCATTGGACTATCCCTACCTGGGTCGATTTGATATATTCCACAAAATGGAAGCAAGCAGAATATATAATTTTACTGACACGGTTTTACCGAGTGATTTTCAACGGATTTTGAATTTAGATTTCAACTACGGGTTACTTCAGGTTAATGTTGGTCAACGGGTAGTCAGGATTATCAAAGATCTAAAGGGTAGTATCAGTAAAGTAAAGTATAATACCTTGACAGAGGAAGGTTTGACAGAGTTTAGGAATGGTCTAAGAGCAAGATGTGTAAATGTCTTGACAAATCACATCAATTATCAACGTAGAAGTAAGTCTAATCAAATATAGTCTGTGAGTTGCTAATCACGTTGACTCACATGTGCTTTGTTATTGAAAATTAGTGGTCCTGTTAAATGTTAAATAAATTACCTTGTTTTTTAAGTAATGACAAATTAAAAAAAAAATTGCACACATATAATGGATCAGTCTAGTCTTATAAAAGTATTATTTTTTGACGTAGTATTTATTACAAGAGTTTTGCCACGAGAATATTAACCTTAAAAGTAATGTTTTTTATTGATATTTTTATCTCTATTTGTTTAAAATAACATTCAAATACTTCATCAAACTCTATATTATATACAGAAGCGTAGAGAGTGAAAAACTAATTTTCTGCCCTCCGGCCGGAAAGTGGCAACTTTCTGGTCGCTGCGCTAAACAAAGTTGCCACATTCCGGCTACGTCGAGCAGAAAAATAGTATACACACCTTGGCCAGTAAAAAGTAAAGCCTCAGACCACATGTTTGTCAACCTCGGCTTCGCCTCGGCCAACAATTACATGTGGTCTGAGACTTTTCTTATTTTACTGGCCTAGGTATGTAATATACTATTGTTGTTGCATCATTTTGTCCTAAATATCGAAATTTTCATTATCGGAGGTTTAGCAATAACAAGCTTGACATATTATGTATATACTTCACAAAAATTTTTATCTTGAGAATATTAAAAAAATTAAATTGAATCATATTTACAAAAACTTGTATTTTGTATAGAATATTAATCGGAAATTTAATTGATATCATTACGTCGGTACCCACAACATACTTTACGAAATTCATCTTCGGCAAAGTTTGCCAGACGCGTGAATTAATTTCGAAGTAAAATTTTTTTGTCGTTGTAGTGAAGAAGAATTTAGTGCACTACTAAAACGAAAAAAGCGACACGTCTTCCTGTTACTTTTATCCTCACTCTTTTCACGGGCTGAATGGCCCCCTGCAGCTGATGCTACTGATAGTCCAAGAAAATTGACCGTTAGATGCGAATTTTGAGGTAAGTTCATGAATTTTAATTATAAGTTACTCCGAAGTATCTGGAATGGGATAGTAAAAAAATTTTCTTATCCAACCCTAGAAGAGGGTGAAAAAAATTAAAAAAAAATTAGGAATACGGTTGACCCTAAAGACCGTCTTTGCAACTTCCCGCCAATTCTATACCTAAACGCTTGAAATTGCACTTAAGACGTTTTAGAGCTCTTCGAGCTCATAAATACAATTTGTGTATTATTTTAAGCTCTCCGAGCTCAAAAAAATAGCTTTTGTATGCTTTTGAGCTCGTCGAGCTCGAAAATTTAATAGAAGTTCGATAAAACATTATTTTTAACTTCCCGCTAAGAATCTCAGATTTTCAAAAATCGGGAAGTTATTGTTTTTACCCCGATTTGCAAAAATCGAGTTTTTATCAGATCTCGACGTTTTAAGGTCATAGGAAGCTTCCCTGAATACCCCCGCGGTGGTGTTTGTATGACTGTATGTGTGTGTGTGTGTGTGTGTGTGTGTGTTTTTTTTTTTCCCTTTAGGGGGGGGGTCCTTTTACGGTATTCTGGCATGATGTTGGCCGGATATGTGGCGACTCGACGCAGCGTCATACTAAAAAGTTGAATCAATGAATGCAATGTTGGAAACGCATTAAAAATGGTTGGGTGATGGTTTTTTGAATTTTCTTAACTTTTTTTTTTCAAAACTAATCTCTTTGCGCTGAAAGAAATTTTTTTTAATTTTACTTGTCAAAATCAAAATTTTTTGATTTAAAATTTATTTGATCGGTGCTACGTTATCGTAAATTTCAAAATTTAATTTAATTTTTATAAATTTATATTTTGATAAATGAATCGTTACTCGAGGTATCTCGTAACGGAAATACCTTGAGATAACAGATTTCTAGAACGTCAACGCAGCCCAGTATACTATACAGTCTACGTTGTGGGATTTAGACTGCGTTGATATTCTCATAGGGTAACCTGAGATGCAACGTCGCTAAAAATTTATTATATAAACTCTTTGTAATTATTATTCGATACACATTCTGTCTTCAGACTTCATCTGGAACAGTCAGTCCTCGGATGTAGCAGAGGAGCAATCTCTGCTGGTCCGAGGCTGAACCTGCCTAATCCTCTTCAAATAAATCTTATTAATTGTCAATCGATTAATATGGATTTTTATTAAAACCTCATCCCCTAGGGTGTAAGCGCTTTCATTAACTGTTTTCCACCCTGGTGAAATCGCCGAAGCGCTAGCCAGCGTTTAGGCACTCCAAAATTAACTACCTGAGGCAGGTTAATTGAAAGTAACATAAAAGTTATAAATTTTAAATTTTAAAAGTAACTTCCCGGAATAAACCAGTGACACGACCCACCTGGAGTCTATTGACATCCTAACGAGGTTAAAATCTGGACATGAATATTTTTTAATTAATTTACCCAAAATTCCACGTAGTTATTTATGTATATTGAACTTACGTTCTGGAATATAATTTTAATAATTTTAATTTCATCATCTTAATAAAATTCTTTATAATTAATTTTAACAGCGTGGATATTAAGTCTAGGTGTTATTTAGTAATATTTAGTTAATATTAATTGATGATTTTTACAACAATTAATTTTATGTTAATAATAAAATTATGAGCTGAATTTGAAAAAAATTGATGCGTCGAATGTTCCGAAAATTTTATTAAAGGTTGAGTATTAAACTCGTGATTGATTCGGAATAAATGTAGGCGTCGGTTTTAGTATGGGTTTTTGGAGATTAAGTTGTTGGTCGTGAAAATATTTTATAACTTAATTGTTAGCTAATGACTGAAATAATTAAGCTGAGAGTAAATGTAGGAATTTTTTGGAATGAAATTTTTATAATAACTTTTATCAGTCAAAAATGAGAGTTAAAGTTAAATCAGTGTGTGTGTGTGTGTGTGTGTGTGTGTGTGTGTGTGTGTGTGTGTGTGTGTGTGTGTGTGTGTGTGTGTGTGTGTGTAGAAGTGTGGGTTATGTGTGTGAAGATTTACAGGATAAAAGAGTGTGTGTGTTAACAGCGTCCCTTCACATACGACAGTCTCTGTGTGAGGTGCTTCGCTGGCTACTTAGTTACTTAAGGGATATGTGTGTGAGCTGCAGGCAGTCTCAGTTTACGCTGCGTTCACTAGGCTGAGGCTTCTGTAGCTGGGTGTTGTTGATGAGCCCTCGTGCACTGATGTCTTTGTACGAGGTGCCTTCTTGATAGTTAAAAGTTTAGTAATGTCAAGTTAATCTGGTTAGCCGTTAGTTAGGTTATAATGTCTAGTCAATCTGGCTAGCCGTTAGTTAGGCTATAACGTTAGGTTTGATGTGGTCAGTCGTTAGTTAGACTGTAGTCGTGAATTTGGTTAGTGTGTTAGGTCGTTAGTTAGTAATTAGATAAACTACTAAGTTCTCTACTTGTTGATGTTTTGCTGGGTAGAGAACTAGCAGCATTGTAAGACTATAGTTTTAAGTTGATTATAGTATGAATGTGAGTGTGCGCAACTTGTTAATTTGATTTTGTTATTAATCAATACCAGTTGTGTTGTTAATTAAGAATTTATTTATTTCAGATCACCTTCTTCTACTCTCTCTCTCCCTGTAAGATAAGCTCAGCTCTGGTTCCGGTTCCAGGAACCGTGATTAAAAATCCTGGTGGCGTCCTCTAGTTTATTAATTAGATTTCATTTTGTTTAGTTTATTATTTTAATCAATGAAATTTAAGGGGCCAAATAGCAGCATATAAAACTGTGTCACCTTATAGTGGTGAAGTTAAAAAATTTTTTTCCATGCCCGTAGACCAAAAAAAAACTAAAAAAATTTTGAAAATTTTTTTATGGCTGGTTTTTCTACGATTACTCAAAAACCGCGTAAGCTACAAAATTTTAAAGTTCTAATCCAAAAACTAGACACTTGGAGCTACAATTTCCTTTTTTTTAGATTTCCTGTACGACCATTTCTCTCGAAGTTACGGCCTGTTGAATAGTGCCCAAAAATTTTGAATTTTTTTTTATACCTTAATTTTTTTTATTACTGTATAAAATTATTATTTTAATTTTTATTTAACATGTAACGGGGTGGTTAACCCTGTTCAATTGGTCACCCCTTTCCTTATGAAAAGGGCGCCACTGGGATTATTTTCGCGGTGTCCCAGAAACCGGAAGAGCACGAGCAGGAAAGTCGGGTCGTGAGAAGTTGAGATAGGCTGAAAATAAATCCTGAGGACAATTTTCTCTCGTTAATCAATTTTATTGAACAATAAATAAATCTTAAAATATTACAAATAACCAACTGTTTCACAGTCCAAATCCAATTATAAATTTCCGAGAAACGCTTTCTCAACAGGCACTTGGCAAAAATCCTTATAAACTAAATATCCTTAAATTCTTTTCACCATAGATCATTACGCATCGATCTTCTCAATTCCTAAACTCTATTTTAGACCATTACGCATCTATCTTTAATTCCAAATTTAATCATAGACCATTGCGCATCTAGATTCTTAAATTTTAACTCAAATATAGACCATTACGCGTCTATCTTCTATTCCTTAATGTTGCGTAAATACCATATGTTCGCGCCAGAACATGTGGTAAGTTCGCATTCAACCTCACCAGAGATGCGGCGACTGACGCGCACTCTGCAAGTCATCTCCCGAAGTCAACAGCTGCTTGCGCGCCAACCGCCATAACAAACCCACACGCTGTAC